TAGGTTCTAAATCACTTTGTATACTCTTTTACTCTCAGGTGAATAGCGTTCTGCCAACAAATCAAATATTATCGAAGATACCAACGAAACTCAGGAACTATAAAAGCAAGGCCAGCATATATAAATATATATTAATATAATTGTTATCATAACAACACTGTGACATGTTTCACAAACCAAACGAAAGATTTTTTGAATACATTAAGGAGCTATAGAGTTTGCGTATATCTACAGGGTATTTCACAGTCGAGGAATTATCGTTTTGAACACGTTCTTTTCTCGGCGGCGCCTATCAACACATTTTACCGTGCATCGCAATTTCGGGTCTGTATCATCGCCGTAAATCTGCATGCCCCACCGCGCCTGCAGGCGCCACAAGCGCTCGCTATTAGGCTAACGAGCAACAAGATGATGCCACGCCTACAGCGACGCCTGACCGTGCCTTGCACTTCCTCGGAAGTTTTTATGCCCCGTCCCTGGCACATGCCTCCCCCCGCCCCCCCTCGACCGACGGCAAACGCCTTTCTTATCAGCGTCGCACGTTTTTATCATAAATTTTACACTCCGCTTGCAATTTTTCGCTCATTTTTGTGGCCGCAAGTTGCAGGCGGAGCCGATATACATATATATATATCTATATATAACTTGGGCCCGGCCATAAAACGCCGAGTTGTTTGGCCAGCCGGGCCCAATGGGCCGTTAAAATGCATTATAAAGTGCCACTTCCCCCAAATACGAATACATATTACGTATACGTAATACGCTTACATGTCCTGGAGCTTGCGGAGAGCGGTAGCTAAATGTAACCGGATGAGCTTCGGACTCTGTCAACTCGTTATTGTTTATCAATTTTATGAGCCTGGCTATTGCCATACATTGCAATTTTCGGCAAGGAAGTATCGAATTTAAAGGCAATAATAAAATTGGGAAACATTTTAAGTTACAATTTAGACACATGTATTCCTTGAGGCTACTCGACATACAGGAAAAGTTTAAAGATGGAAGTCCTGGTGAGATATATATATATGATATGGCAAATAGGTGTGTAGCAAATAAACCAGGCCTTATTTGAATTGCTCCAACAAATTATTTAGACAAAAAAAGAAACAGGTATGTGTACTTACCCCAAGGCTCAAAATGTATATCGGCGAAGGTAGTCAGAATTTGATTTAAACATTTTCCTGAAAGAACAAAAGAGTAGAGCGGTTAGAGTAAGAGTTGCACAAAGAAAGAGACAAAAGAAGAAAAAATGAGAGACAGAGAGAGAGAGAGAGAGAGAGAGACAATTCAAAGCATGAAAATCGGTAAGCATTAGTAAAATTCATGAGAATCGAGTAGAAGAGCGCTATAAGTGAAGTTCTTTTTGTTTACGGTTGGTATAAATTCAAATACAGCTCGACTATTACCCCGCCTCGCCCGGCCAAGTATTTATACTTAAACGTTAGATATGCATTTTTCGCCCATCTTCCGCACGTGAAAATTTTATAAATTGTTTCCTATTACTTTTTTTAATTGTTTTTGGCTTACTTCTTGGTTTTTAATTTAGCTGCACTTCATTTTATTTTTGTACAGTTTTGAGTCTGACTTGAAGCGATTTACGACCATACGACGATTACATTATGGGTCTCTTGTGAATGCAATGATTTGCTGTGATTGCCAGCGCAATGCCTGACGCCTGTCCGTACTTTCAGGTTATATATCCTACCTCCACAACTGATGCCCGATGCCTGAACGAATCTCACATTTTACACCTCACTGTTGCCTGACTGTGTACCGCGCGCCTGCTTTCAACACGGTGCACATCAGCTTTAAAGGCGGCACAAGCAAAACTTATGTGTGTGTGCCTGTGTGTGTGTGTGTGTACATGCATATTATGCATGTGTTTGTTTCCTTTTTTTACCGTATTTGTCTTGCATATTGTGTATACGCAGCGTATGCCGGAAACTGGCGTCCCACTTATGCAAAGGATGCCAAAAGCGTTATGGCAGTGTCTGTATGAGCCTCTCTGTGTGTGTAAGTGTGTGTATGTGTGTGTGTGTGTGTACACAAAGTATCATTCACGCTATCATTGACACCAAACAAGCGTAGCAGCAGCGGCAGCATCAACGCCCAGTCACAGCCAGTGCATCCTTATCAACAACAACAACAACAACAACAGCAATATTCACAAGAACAACAACAACTGAAATATTGTTAACACAATTCAAAAGTTGCGAGCACCGTGATTTTCATATAATTTTTAATGCCCTCCATAGAGGGTATTAAAAGTGCCTCATAAAGTGAGGAGATCAACTGGAATATGCAATAAAATGCTCTCTCTCTCCCTTTCGCTTCTATAAGGAGCTTAAAAAACACTGCTAGACCGTATTTTTCTATATACATTTATTTATTTATTAATTAACTATGGAATATGAAATTTTAATAAAAAAAAAAACTTTTTAATTATATAGAACTGTGTGATATTCCGTTAGAGCATTTATTCGTCCACATAGCCCAGTTGGGCTTTTCTTGTGGTTGCAACATGCAAATAAATTCTACAAACGCCTGGAAATATTGATATGCATATATATATATTTTTGTTCTTGCATTACCAGTGCAAAATTTCTTATAATATTTTCTATTTTATACCCTGTAAGCAAATATTTTGATATACAGGGGCAACTGTGTTGAAGACTTATATAAGTCAATCTGGTACCCTGCCAAACCTGGTGATCTCGACTGAATGATCAACTGATTGATTGATTGATTGAATGGCTGGTTGATTGACTTTTGAATTGACTGACTGACTAACTGATTGGTTGACTACCTGATTTATTGATACACTGATGACTTACTAACTGATCAACTGACTGACTTGTTGATTGATTGACTGAATTCTATATTGACTGACTAATTACTGATACTTACTTACTGATTTGATAATTGAATGACTGATTAATGAGTTGACTGACTGATTCACTGATTGACTGACTGACTGCTTGGAGATGAACACACACGCCAAGCCGTAAGTGCTAGAAAGCTTAAATTATCCTATAAGACTAAGAAACTGTTGCAACGAGTGTGCGTAAAATTGTTTTCAAATATCCATGGACAAGTATGTAATCTTTACAGAGTATCTGTCGATCGACTACTCTCAACTCGCGAACATGCACCACTATACTGTGTGCTGTGCCTCAAAAATTGCAGTGAGAGTCGGCTGCAAAGGTCGCTTGTGTGGCAAGGGGGCGGGGAAGTGGGATGCGCTCGAGCCGTATTGAAAATGATCGCAAGTAAAATGTTAATGTTTTTATTGTTGCTTTAGAAGAAGCGCTGTGCAATTTGCCGACGTTGTTTTTTAATTGCAGCTGCCGCTGCCTCGCACGCCTCGGCTGCTCGATTTGCCTAGCTGTGCCCGCGTGTTGCACGTTCCACTGATTCGCGGCGTCGCCGTCAGCGTCAGCGTTGGCGTTGGCGTTGGCGTCGGCGTCGGCGTCTGTTGCAGCAGCAACATCAAAGCGCAATTTTCGCAGACATTTTTATTGCATATTATTTTCATTTCGCTGCTTGTGCCACACCCCGAAAGCTGTGCATGCAACGCCAGGCAACCCCCAACCCATCCCAGTCTGCCGCCGCACTGTGCCAGTGCTGTAAAGTGCACATTAACAGCAGCAAACAAATATCGCATCATCATTATGATCATCATCATTGCGAGCATCGTTACGAAGCACATCATGAGATTTATTATCTTTGGTCAATTTTGAGATTTTGTTTTTGCGAGCTTTTGCTTTGGTTTTTCCTCATCGCGTTTAATTGAAAAGTGAAATTGATTTTGCCAAGTGAAAATCGCTGTTCGTTTTCCTTGTTTTTTTTCTCCTCTCTTCTTTTTATGTTTCTCCGATTTCTGGCATTTTCTTGTACATTCATTATTGAAATTGTATACACAAATATACATTTTTTTTTTAATATGTACTCTTACTTTTGTGCTCTCAGTTCGGCCAGCGAAAATCTTTGCTCATTATGTTCCTCCAACTCGAAATTTCCATTACTTCGAGTTTCGCTTTTTTTTTTGCCTCCTCAATCACCTGCAATAAGCTCTCCCCGCCCCCACCCGCAGCTCCCCTAATTGTTGGAATTTGTGCGTCTTCTGAATAGCCGCTTTAATTGCACGATAATTGCGCAAATGAAACATTGAAATTAACGAATTCTTCAGCATTTTATACGACTTATGCGTATTCGCTTTGAAAGAAAACCTCTTAAGTACTTGCGTCGATTTTGGGGCCGTGGCAAAGTGTTTACTGTTTACATCGTTAGAGAAAATTTTGTGCATTTGTAAGGCCCCCCCCAGCTGAGCTTATGCCCTGAATCTAACCCGCTTTACCACTTTTGGCTCAACTAAAGGACCACAGAAAAGTTTCCATTCAGCTACGAATCACCGCAAATTATGTTAATAGTCTGCATGCTTAACATATTGTCACAGCTGTTAATGGCACTTTAACAGATACGATTGAGCATAGATTTAAATCATTCAGTTTCATTAATTTAATTAACAAACCCATCCACATGTTTGTAACTATAGACAAGCCTTAGTTTGAACTATATTAGATTTTAAAGAAGTCTTGTTTGCTTAAATCTTGCAAAGCATAAGGCTGATACTTTCTATGTTTACCTGAGAATGTTAATGTCAGACTGTTAACTTCGCACTCAACATAAAATTGAACTGTTGCTCTCATATTCAACTAGCTGATAGCCTTGCAACATAATTGCATATTTTCTCAGCTACACTCTGTAAACGTCAAATTAACATAACGTCTATACATGAAGCTGTAGTTGTTGTTATTGTTGTTGTTATCCTTCAGGCTCGTTCCACATAGCTCACAGAATTGCTTGAAATGTGTTTTCCTTTTTTCTTGCGACAATCCACTTGAAATTGACAACAACTTCAGCTGTAACTTCAACTTCAAGTGACTTTTGCTACTGTTTCTACTGCTTCCTTTTCTTTTTTTTTTTTTTTTTGCTTGCAGACAATTTGCGAATAAAGTTGCAGCACAGCAGCAACTGAACGGCCAAGAATAACATAGCACCAACAAAAACAACCACAAGAGGCAGCAACTTGCAACGAGCCAAATTGTTGCATACTTTGGCAGTTACAACGAGCTCACGGACACACTTACGGCGGCAACATGTCGATGTTGTCGGCGACAACAACAGGAGCTGCAGCAGCAGCAGCAGCGGCAGCAGCAAGAGCAACTCGACGCAGGGCCAGAGCACGCAGTGTTGCCAACACATTTCAATTGCTGGCAATCGCCTTTTATTGTTGCTGTCAATTTGAGCTGTTGTTGGTGCAGGCACAGCTGCAGCAGCAGCAACAACAGCAGCAACATCAGCAGCAGCAGCAGCAGCATCAGGTGACCTCTGGCGGGCAGCAGCAACTGAAATATCAGCAATTGCAATATCAAATGCAGCAGCAATATGAATATCAGCAGCAGCAACACTTTCAACAGCAGTTCCAACAGCAACAGCAACAACAACAACAGCAGCAGCAACAACAACAACAACAACAACAGCAGCAACAGCAACATCAGCAGCAATTAGTGTTGCCCACAGCGGCACAGGCGTTACCGGAACAACCCATCGATTTACTGGCCACACAACCAACTCAGGTAGGTGTTGTAAAGTATATAAATATTTGATTGATGCAGAGTTAAAAGCGATTGCAGCTTATTATATGAGCTGTGAGAACAAATATGATAATAATTGGTATGTTAATATTTGATTGAACATTGATTGAAGCTGATTGACGTTGCTTATGAGCTTTCTCACAGCAGACGCAAATTGATTGAAGATGATGTTAATTGACTTTGATGTATATGAATTATAATATTATCACATATATGTTGATAAGACCGATAAGCAGCTTGATGAAGTCGAATATAAATGATTGAAGACTGATGAGACTGAGATTGATTTAAGCCATTAGGGTATTAATTAGTTTGGAAGTTCAAGTCATAAATTTCAATTAGCGGATTAAATTGTTTGGTAAATAAGTAAATGATTGAACGCTGATTGAAGCAGATTAAAGTGCTACCAACAAATAGATAAGCGAAAGAAAATAGATTGACTGGAGCTGATTGATCACTGAAGTACGGTTTGATTAGCACGTATTTAGCTTAACTCCTTGCCAAATCAGAAACACATTTTGTAATAAATTACTCCAACTGAATATTAATTGCAGTCGCTTAAATAAGTCGTTTGTAGCCCGGCGCGGCGAGCGTTAAGCTGAACTTTTTGGCCAAGTTTGTTTGCGATTCAATAAACTCCTTTTGTAATTAATTAAGCTGGTGATACGGCTGCAACCTGGTCGCCTTTACGGCTCTGGCAACGCGTTACTCCGCATTTCGGGCTGCTTTGTTCCCAGTTTTTGTTCGCCGTGCTCGACAAATTGAATTTTGGATTGCGATTTTGTAGCTGCAACTGCTTAAAGACCAAAATCTCAATGCCAATTCCACTTGACTTCATCTTCATTTCTCTGTTCGGTCTGCTTTCTGCCTCAACCCAGAGTTCAATAAGCTGATTAGCCAAATGAAATCAGCAGGCAAAATAATAAAAAAAAAGCCTTGACTTGGGCATTGGCTTCATCTTCCTTTGTTTTTTTTTCTTGCTGTTTTTACAGGCCCTCAATTTGTGGCGCTTAGTGATTAATTTGGTTTTGATAGACTTTAAGTTATATTTAATTAGAGCCAACTTTCTTGTTGGCCATCTTTTTGTGCCCGCCGCCAAAGCCAAAGCCATTTAATTTGGAAAACTTTGTGCCAACCCACAAAAAAGTGGCGAATTGCAAGTTGTTTGGCAGTCGCATTGATGAAGATGACGCTTGAATTTGAGAAGCGCAAAGAGAGGCACGGTGTTAAGGTGTAAGAATTGCAGAGCTTATAAAATCTCTTATGCAAAACAAAAACATGTTATGACCTAACAGAGATAAGAACTGTTAATGAAAAAGTCAGAGTTAAACATATATCATATCACATAAAGATAGAAAAAGTTACAGGTTATTTATATTAACTGTTATGAAGCTCGTTAACAATTTGTGCACGCTGTTAATTGACTGTTAATACATACTTAAAGGTAACATATATTTCAGAGCTATGTTAAATAGCAATGGGGGTCGTCTAGGCTATGGCTTTGCAAATAAGCTGGTTACAAATTAAATTTAGTTAAAAGCCGATGATAGTGGGCTTCTATGTGGAATGTCAATTGAAATTGAACGAAAGTTATTGCAGCTGCCGTTGCATAGTATTTCGATTATATGTTCTAATTAAGGAATCATATTGAAAATATCTTTCAAATAGCTGAAAGCAAACATTTATAGCTATTTTAGATGCACATTCGGCGCCTGCGGTGCCCGCACACACACACACACACACAAAAAAAAAAAAAAAAAAATGCCCACCCTCTTTTCACATGGCCAAGTGATTCCATAAACCACTTTGTTAGAAAATTGCTTGTGTTTGATTCCACTGGCGATTGTCGATTGCTTTTGCTTTTTTTTTATATTTTTTTATGGCGGACTCTGGGAGTTCGCAGTTCGCGTGGCGAAATTTTATTGCACCAAAAAGTATATATGTCGAGAATGCAAGGGATATTTGGCCAAGGCCTGACAGACATTGCACTGACTCAACGCTTTCTTGATTGCCTTCTGTCTGGCCAGCTGACAAGCTGGCCCACCAGCTGACCAGCTTCCATTGGCTTTTGGACTCATGCGTCTATTTTCTTCTTGCTCTGACCGTTGTCATCTGTTTTATTTCCAGCAGTATTTATTTTGTGGTATTTCTTGTAACAACTTGGCTATGTCTTAGCTATACCCTGTCTATGTTAAAGTTGTCAATTAGGGCTTAACCTCAAATATTATTATAGGGTATATTATTGGCAGTTTTTCAAATGGGTATTTTGTGTAAACTAAACCGAAGCGACAAACTAAATTCTAGAGTGTTTCAATTTTCGTTGAGAATAGGGAGAATATATATTTGATATGAATATATTTGCTTCGAAATTGATAAATATCGATATATAATTCCGATTTGTTGAGCGTATTTAAGAGTGTTTAAGAGCCATATTTGTAGCATATTTATCGCCAAGGACGCTAAACTTTTCATGACATTCTTTCCTAATAGAAATACAGCGTATCCGCTGGGTCAAGTAACCTCGGCTGAATGTTCTTAACAGATAGATATTTAGTATCTTTTGCTCACTCTTGCTCCTCTTTATTATAATGAAGGATGCTAGAAAAAAGATACCCTGTCAATTGAATGAGTCTTTAATACTTTCGCGCCTTCTTAGCAGCATTTTACAGGGTATGCACAAGTCGAGCACATGCTGCCGTCATATTTTTACGTGTTTTACTCTTTTTCTTGCAATAAAATAAAATCCACACCGAATCGGGAGCGTCATGTGGCATAGCATAGCTTGGCCCCAGCCACAGAGCCAGCCAAATGCCCTGCGGCGATATGCAACGGACATGGAACACACACACACGTATGCACACACGCGCGCACACACACACACGCAGCCGAAAACTATAAAGCAAAACTCCTTTCAAATATATATGTATATATATATATATATATATATCCCATGCGTGTGTCTGTGTGTGTGCGTTTGGGCCACAACGAAAGCTGCTGCATTTTATTTTACCATTTCGTCCCATGGCAAAATTTATGAATTTCGACTCGTTGCCGCCGCTAGCCGCACATATGCGGTTTTTATATATTGACACTTAAAATTTATGGCTCTTAAAATCTACAAAACGCTGGCGCTACAAACCGACCCATGCCCCTGCCCTGGGACAGTGCAGAGGCTTTGCTAACATTGCGTTTCATTTTATTTCGTTTCGTTTTGTTTCATTTGGTTTGGCTCAGTTCCGTTTGGCTCCCCCCCCCCCCCCCCTTAACAATCCCCAGCCCCTGCACACGCCTTTTGGGAAAAACCGAAATTGTTTTGTTGTGCAAACTATGAAAAGTCAGCGACAGCGCTGTAAGCTGACAAAAACTGAGCAGCAAATCGAGCGGAAAATTGTTAGGGCTGCCAGCAGCCTGGCATATATGCATATATATATATATATATATATATATACGTATATATAAATGCATAAGCTCATATTAGCGTTAAGTTTAAAAGTGTCGCTGTTAATGTCAATGCTAATGCCCTATGCTCTGTAGCTGGCTTAAAGAGTTAACAGTTGACAGTTTGCAGTAACATGCGCGGGTAGCTTAACAGAATGTAACACCTAACAGCGTCAGCTTCAAAGCTTTGTTTCATAACTAATAATTCAAATTAAGTCAAGTTCAATTTACTCAGCTATAAAAGTGTGTACTGAAAATGTTAACTTTTTTAAGTTTAGGCAAACAATTCTGTCATCTATGTCCATATTGTGGGTAAGACAGTTTTATATTAAGTTATTTTTTTACAAGGATTTTGTTAACATTGCTGCAGTGTCACTGTTTAGCGTAATGTTAACATAGAGCTGTTAAAAGAAGTATGTTAAGTGACAATCAGCTACCCCTAATAAAAATTTAGCTGCTCTTTGTGCTAAAAACTATAAATTGAAATGTTACCCAACATTCAGCTTCTGTTAACTTTAACAGGACAACAGCAAAAGCAGTTGCTAACGAAGATCTATTAGGGGCGATTAGTACAGACACGAGTAATCCCAGCTTAATGGTCTATTCAAAATAAATTTAAAATATACAAAATATTTGTATACAAAAAATTAAATATGTTTCATGACTGAAACTCATATCTTAATGCCTGAATGTGCGCTTGAAAGGAAGAGTGGATCTAAAAGAGAAAGGGGGAGGGGCAAGTAGACGAAGAGTGGGCGAAGGAGACGCAGAGAAAGAAGGAAAGAGAATGAGAGGGGGGCAAGAGATTGAGCCAGTTGAGTTGCTGTGTGTCAGCGTCAAAGCTGAAAATCGCTTAAGATTAATGATGCAAAAAATTGAGCATCATCAAAGAAAGTGAAAATGGAATTAGGTGCAAAGGCGCCGAGAGGACGCATCCACAACAGCAGCGAAGAAGAAGACAGCACCTAAAAGCCGCACATAGAGAGCGGAATAGACAGCTAGCTGTGGAGCGGCGGGAGAGACGGGAGGGGCGGTAGATGGGCGCAATACGTGCTGCACGCAAAGCGGAAGAAAATGCCGGCATAAAACTTAACTACAATAAGCACCAGCTTCAAGCCAAGCCAAAACGAGCTGGCAACTAGAAAATGACAACAACAATGTAAACACCACACCAGGTATTCGACTGTGTGTATGTGTGTGTGTTATGTGTATATGTGTGTGTGTGTGTGTGTGTGTGTGTGTGTGTGTGTGTGTGTGTGTGTGTGTGTGTGCGGCATGCCAAAACTCTCGCCGTGTCTATCCAAGTAGCTAGTAGTTGTTAGGCCCAAAGTGCCCGCCACGTACGTGCGGGCGGAAACGGAAAAGGAAATGGCAGCATCGCCGACGCTGACGCCGACGCCGACGTCGACGTCGACGCCTGTGCATAGGGGGCAGGCCAAGCGTTAAGGTAAGCAAAAATGAAATTGTAAGCAAGGACAAGGATAGAGAATAAATATATATAAATATAAATCCATATACTAAATACAGTTAGAGAATAAATAAAA